GTATTCAACTCGGTACGTTGGTAATAATGTACTTGGTATAGTGGTAAAAGAGCAAAATATTGTCCTCAAGGCTCTATCCTCTGTGCTTCCAAGTTTTCTGTCAAAAACTATGGAAGTGTATTTCTAAAGGTAAACAAAATAATATGTGAGACAGATCTGGCAGCTTTCTTTTCATTTATTCATATAAGAGATAAAAGTTACAGGATTGTACATGACAAATTGAATTTAGTACACAATTTGTACAGTTACATGTGGAAAATGAAAAAAGTCAGGAAGGAGGCAGGTTATTGTAGCCTGAAGGCATTTTGAATACAAGTCAAGCAGTTTCTATATATTTGTAGACCATTATGGTGTAACCAATCTTATGTCTTTGAATATGTAATCAGCATTACAAATTTCATCTTAATCTCCTCAATTCGATGAGTCCCCTTGCATGAATGTCTTTGAAAGCCTGTGCGAGATTTGGATACCAAATTTGATAAGAATTTTAGAAAGAAGCTCCTCATAAATCCTTTTTTTAATAGAATAGCAAGAAGTATTGATTTAAAGGGGGTGTATGCATGACAAGATTGTGTCTTTCTTGTGGCCTGACTCGGGGCCAATAGGATATAATACGACAACGGACGACATGACCGCAGTATTCATGTGCGTGCAACATACATGAAACCAAAGCGTGAGGAGAACTTTCACGAATGCTAGCGCGTGCTTACCTAAAATCAAGTCTGTTTATGCGCAGTTGCCCAAAAGAAGTCGTAGATGGCGTTAACCAGTATTTGCCAAGCTACACCCCCTTTAACCTTTGAGCTGTCTTTTGTTGTGGCTTCTCCTCAACTAAAATAAATATTTTTAACATGCAAGTTGCTTTTAATTCTTGTAGGACTTTGAGAAACTAGTGGAGGAGTTGCTGATGCTGAAGACGGAGGATAGACTGAGAGCAATGCTTCTTCTTCAGGCTATAGCAGTAAGTCCATTACATTAGTACAGTCAAACCTACTTCAATGACCACCTGTATAGAAAGACCACCTGTTCATAAAAACCATATTTTTAATTTCCCTTTAATATGGTCTCTCATTAATACCTGTACTAAGACCACCTGCCTATAAAGACCACTTTTCATGTTTCCCTTTAGCGGTCATTATATACAGGTTTCACTGTACTAGGCAAATGAGACTGCAGGAATGTCAAAATCTTCATTTGTGTTTTGATTAGTTGAAAGGATGTGGCAGACATACCAGGTCATTGGACCTTCTTTGTATTCCCTGTTGTTAAATTCACAATGAAGTGAGGCATATGGTTGAAAGTTATGATTTAATCATGTTACCTTTTACTTGATAATGACATTGATAATGAAAGTATTAAATGTTTGACCAGTTTTAAAAACAATTGTGTTCTTTATAAAATAAAAAAAATTGATTTGGTGATTTGATAATGATATATTCTCTTCAAGTTTTGTTCCGTCACTTTTGGACTAGCTTGGTACCACTTCAGAAAATCTGTATATTTATCAGTTGTGTTTGACTTAACTATGAATTGATTATATCTCTTTAACTTACAGCACCTTATGGAAACTATCATCAATCATTCCGAACACGGACTCAGTCCTGATGTCTTCCTAGAACCAGCGGTAAGTTCATCGATGTTAGGATTATATAAGTCTATACACAAAAAAAAAATCACAACGTCTCTCTTTTATTCTGGCTGTCAATTGTTTGTTTTGTTTCCATGATTCTCTAAAAACTTGACAATAATTTTAATTAGTAGAATATTAATTTAAGAATGAGATTCTAATAAGCTGAGGCTATTACAATTATTGTGTTCATATTATCTGTAAAGTTGACGGACCATTTAAAGCCTATCTGCACTAGTTTGGCCAGGAGGGATTAAAACTCCCTGCAAGGTCACTGGCAGGTGGTAATGCCATCAAATCAGCTCTCAATTAACATAAGAAAAAGGGGACCATGGTGGACCAACGGTCACCGCTTAGGCATTGTTTGCTATATAGAGGGCGTAAGTAGCTATCAGTAGTGCAGCGGGCCTTTAAGTCATAAGTTCAATGATCGCAGTTCCAAAATACCATGAAATTAAGTGCTCATGAAGTGAAAGATATTAACAAAATATTATGTCATACACATATACTATTTGGACACTCTACAATGTACATCTGTTTTTATAGAAGAATTTCATCCGAATTTGGAAAGGATACATATGCTTGTACAGTGAAATATGTCTTTAGTTGTATGTTGTGTTGTAGAACCTGTCTAAAAAGGCCACCTGTCTACAGTGGCCACTTTCTCTGTTTCCCTTGGGTGGCCGTTCCAATTGGCTTTGAATGTATATTCAATTCAATTCAGGTTTTGTTCAATCTTGTCAAAAAGTCCAAAGAATAAAATTGTGAATTTACATCATACATGCAATTATATTTTTAAAAAAATCAAAAGCATATATATATATATATATATATATATATATAAAGAAAAACATAGCAATTAAGAAAAAATGTATCAAAATAAATAAATGTTTACATCAAAACATCGATGCAGTAATACAAAAAATACAAAATACATTGAATTTAACACGTTTTTAACTTTGTCTTGATTACCCTCTTTCCAGGATGGAGTCATCCAGGTTCTCCAGCTCTACACATGGCCTACGTCTCGTCTCATCCAGCTCTATCAAGGTCTCCTACAGAAGGTATGAATGAACACACTCGCTGATATATCATATCACTATGAACATGACGGACAAAGAAAGAGGACAAAATATACAGTTCTTCATTCTACCCTCAACAATTGCTGAATTCTTTGTCCGTCATGTTCATAGTGGAATGACTACACCCAGTGATATATCATATGCTCTACAGACATTTGCTCCGGTTTTATTCTGTTAAAGTGACTCAGTAATACTGCCTCAGATTCTGAAACAAAATCCTGGATTTAGCTCATGCTGCAATCATAATCATGAACCTTTAGATCGGTCAGGAATCCCATGACATTTACAAGCTGATCGCCTGTCTGATTATCAAGATATTTATGATTGGAAATCAAAATATTGTTTTTCGTTTTCCTAACGGATTTTATAACACTACAGGCTATTGGGGAAAATGAGTATGGTAAAACCGGTCACTCATATATTTTTTTCTTTTTTTAGGCATTTCATGATCATTTTGAAGTGCAATTTTTTTAGGGCTTCAATATTACACCATATCACAGACACTGATAATACGTAGGGCCATGCATCTCAGATTTAACATTGTTAAACGATGCCTTTAATGACCAAACCTGACCTTAACCCTCGGCCCGTCTTATAAAGTTGCAAGTCCTCCATATCAATCGCAAGTCCTCCAATCTACCGCAGGATCGCAGTATCCTTTCTCTTACATGTAGTTGTGATTGATATAGAATCTTTATAAGATGGGGCCCAGGGTAAGGATTAGGTTTGGTATTCGGTTATAGATTAGTGTTTTGGAAAAAGTTGGGGTTAATTATGGTATTAAGTCATGGGCCCTATTCTATCTTTACGCTTTAATTCCTCTTTGTCTTTTACAACTCTATTTTTGGTCATCTTAAGGGAAAAGGTAATGTTGGTATAAATGGGAGAATATCAGATTTTGCTGTAAGTAACCTGAAGCTACAAAGACCTGTCTGACAAAGTTGCCTTTGTAAAACTTGTTAGATCTGTGTCTAGTTCTGCCTTTGTGTCTTGGTATTGGATAATCCTTGTAGATTATTATTATTATTATTATTTATTTGACCAATCGGACCAATAGATGATGGTGAACAACTTGCAACATTGCAGTATCAGTTGGTACACTCCATTATTTTTACTCATCCCTTGATTTATAAATAAAGGCCTGGGAAGGAACGACGACTGAATCTTGGCCGGTCCGCCTACGGACACTGCGAATCCTGCAGCGGTTGCTATGCCAACAGAGAAAGTGCTTCACTGGAAACGAGCTGCTGCACGCTCTTGTGCATTGTCAAGAAGGTACAGAGGCAGGAAATTTGCATTGCTACTCATGTTCAGACTTGTTTTATTATGTGTTTCAGGATTTGTTGAGATATTGCTGAAAAAAGTGTTTAACTGGAAATAAAATGAGAGAAAGAGAGAGAAGGGGTGGGAGGGAGGGAGAGAGGGGGTGGGAAGGAGGGAGAGAGGGAGAGGGAGAGAGAGAGAGAGAGGGAGAGAGAGAGAGAGGGAGAGAGAGAGAGGGAGAGAGAGAGAGAGAGGGGGGAGGGAGGAGGAGGATCAACAAATATACCATAAATACGCAAGGCAGTATGATACAGCAAAACTGTCTTATTCTTGTATTGGTAATCAATTACTTCTATCCTTAAACTGCTACTTTCAACTCTGTGAAGCACTGTAAGACCTTGTGGTATGTGTAAGAGCACTGTATAAATGTTTCTTTTAAATACAAATTCAAAAATAATAATCATAATCATTGTTGTGTTGTACCTTTACAGAGGAGCAGCCAGCAGAGAACATTTGGGAGTGGGCTTACCAAACAGCTGAACAGCTACTGGGGAGTGGGCTGGTGAGAACGATGACGGCTAGCGGAAATACGGTGGATCTCACTGCTCTGGCAGGAAAAGGTATGCCCAATTTATCAAACATCGTCTACTGAGAGCTGGAAGAGCTTTAACTCTTTGCAAAAGTATATGAGTTAAAGTCATCATGGCTCAAAACAGATAATATTAAAATAATGTATTGTGTTACAGTTTTAACCAATTGGAATGGGTTTCCTTGAACTGGTGGAAGTATGCAGTGTGTTTGGCAAATTCAGCCATAGTAATTTGGACATTTTAAACATCTGTCCCTAATTTATTGTTTCATGCTGAAAGAGGTTAAAAAATTTGAAGAAAAACGAATGCAGGAAATGTATAGCTACCCAACAACTTAAAAGACTCAAAATAGTTCAGGGAATGGCTTGTGCCAAACATGCTTTTAGTGTTTTCAATTAACACTTCTTCTTAAGATAGAGTTATAAGGCATACTAATTGTTTCGCTGTCTTTTAATGTCTTGGCATTTAATGCAAGCATATTGTTTTAAAGCCCCTCTGCACTAGTTTGGCTTGGAGGGATTAGACCTCCCTGCAAGGTCACTGGCAGATGGTTATCTCATTAAATCAGCTCTCAATTAAAAAAAGAAACAGAGGATCACGGGGGACCAACAGGCACCGCTAAGGCATTTGCTATATTTGTTTGCTATATAGAGGGCGCAAGTAGCTATAAGTAGTGCAGTGGGACTTGAAGTATGTATTTGTTCTCTTGATAGTCCTTTATTTCTTCTTGATTTGTTCTAGATGGGTCAAACCTCCATTTTGCTTCCCATGGTGAGATCAGTGACTACGAAGGCTACAGCTTCCCTGAGGTCACCCTGCACAGCATCCCCAGGACATCCAGGAAGAGCCCTGCCCTGGACACCAACACCACCACCCCCACAGAGGACACCGAGGGGTCATCGGACAGGGTCTTGAGACGGCTGCAGATGACCGATAGAAGAGGGGGCCAGGAGATGGAGGAGAGTGACAGCAGTGATGATAAATCAGGGGACGATGAGGTCCAGCATCTGTTCGAGGTGTCGGTGGAGGTCTACGATAGTCTATCACCTGCTCCTGTCAGAGATGAACAGTCTGTGGTGCCTTCAGAGTCTGTGTCTCGGTCAAGGGGCGATCTGGATGATGGTTGTCCTGATGTGAGTCCTGTTGGGACTGTTGAACCTGCACCACTGGGTGCAGAGTGTGAAGCGTCTTCCGATGATCATCCAGAGGCAAAAGACGTTGATGTTGCAATGGATGAATCAGAATCAGCTATGCAAACGACCACTGAACATATGCATCCAAGTAATGAACATAGTGAAATAGATGGTGTTGAAGACAAGGCTTCTGCAGAAGACAACCTGTCTTGCTCTGCAGGAATCTCTGTCAGAGTCGAAAGTAAGGATCAAGCAGGCACTAGTGATCAAGATGAACATAAATCGAATGGTAATGAGGGCGATAGTGACTTGTGCTATCCTGATCAAAGTATGCAAAAAGACAATGAGGGTGCTCAGGGAGGCATGGAAGCTTCTACGGGAGAAGATGCCATGGCTGTGCCAGGTCCTGAAGGAATGCAACAATCTGAAGGATCAGAAGCACAGACGGTCGCACCAAGTAAAACAGACACTCAGGAATCCAAGACTATCATAGGACAGGAGCAAGAAGAGTGTTTGGATGATAAAGATGAGCGAGTGTTCAGGGTCATCCATGATGAAGATGATGCAAGGATTGTATTGACCTTTGATGATGTAAGACCCATTGAGGATTTGGCACTAAGCCAAGAGTTAGGTCCTCAACCTTCACTAGCTGTATCAGGTAGTGGTAATGATAATGAAGATGTGGGGCACACAAGAGTAGAATGTGTAGAAAAAAGCAGACTTTCTGGTGATAATGGTCCTAAAAGCAGTGAACCAACAAAAAGTGATTCATTATATAGTAAAATAGAGGAGCAGAGTAGAACTGAGTCATCATCATCTGGTATCCGTGAGCCTGGCCGAAGGGACAGAGGTCTTTCAACCTCAGGAGCAGTTTCAATGGACACAGAGGGAGACAGAATACAGGTAATACCCCCAAAACAGCCCCTAGCCCCCAACCGACCGTATCGTTCTTCCACCTTTTCCGAGTCCTCCACTTCAGACCCATCGGACTGCGAATCCAGAGGCACACCCCGTGCAAGCAGCCCTTTCCTGGGACCCTGGTCACCCAGAGGGGTCGTCCCGGCCTTCACCGCGGACTCACAGCAGCTCTACTGCTTCTCTCAGGTCTACGACTCGATCCCCAAGGGGGAGGAGGGGGTAAGGAATCGCTCCAGGAGTCACAGCCGAAATCAAAAGCCTTCCAGAGGATGGTGGAGAACCTGGACGCAGGGTTCAGCCCGGAGATGGTCGTTGCCATCATCGCGACACGCAGGGACGAATCGTCCAAGAATTTCATCAATCAGATCGGAGACGAGTCTCTGCTCTTGAGAGAGGCTTCCTGCATCAAGCGGTTGTGCAAAGCATGTTTCAATTTAAGATGAGGCAATGAAAACGCAGGGATGAATCCTCCAAGAACTTCATCAATCAGATCGGAGACGAGTCTCTGCTCCTAAGAGAGGCTTCCTGCATCAAGCTGTTGTGCAAAGCATGTTTCAAGTTAAGATGAGGCAATGGAAGGAAGGTGCGACACAAGGCAGAAAGAAATTCAACCCGCCAGGTACACGTTATGCCAAAGCAAATTGCAACTTTCCAAACAATGCCAAAATGTGATTGTTTGTTAAGTCTATCCATCAGACATCGAATGCATGCCTAAGTCATGAAAACCAAATATTTCTGGATTTTTACTTCTCTCACTGAATGTCTTGGAAATGAATTGTAGCTGAGTTGATCAAGTATGAAATGGAATCTTCCACATTATTAACAGTGTGTGTTTCCTGAAAGTAGATGTCATACGATATTCATGAATTTGTTTTATATACTAATAGTTTCAGCCACTGGTATGCAATTATATATGTGACTGATGTATTAGGGCAAGCGTTAAGACGCAGAGTCAGGTTTAGGTTCATTTATGTGGGGGTAGGGGTATTCTACAGTTGTTCTGACTTTCTAGTCATGCAGGAACTCTAACCAACTTCTTGTAATAAATTATGAAATATATTAACCTTTCATCTCCCACCAAATCCAATTTGATCAGGGCAGAAATTGACTTGCATTCCAATTTGTGTTAGAAAGTCATTGTATGGCATGTTGATCAAGCACCACTTTTTGTTCAGCTTAACTTGTGTGAAGATATGTTCAGTACTTGTATCACTAAACCATTGGAATAGGAAAATGTACATTCCATATGCGTGTATGTACTGTCCCCCCCCCCCCCCTTCAATTTAATCCACTGCCAACAGAAAACCGAGTATTTGTAGATCTTGTAATAACCCTACATGGTAATGAAGGGATTCAGTAGTTAATGGGTTAGTTTTATCAACCAAATACTTTCAGACTCCAGAGTTACTATTTATCCTAAAGTATTGCCTCAAAAGCTTACAGTCAAATCCGAGTCACCTGATCTAAATCATGTTGTTTAGACCGTCAAATGTCAATTTAACTTACAGTATGTCTGAATACACCCATCAATAAGTGATGGCAGAAACCTTGATTCTCATTGGCCATCAGAACATATATATTTGATCACATATTATTGCAAGTTGTATGCAGTATACATGTACATACATGTTAAGTTTCTAAGTTTGATATCTTTACTTTAACTGTCTTCACGTGGATACTACCTTTGCAGTATATATGAATGCGTAAATTATTTTGATCATAATGAACAATGTTAAGTGACAAATGTCTTGTAAAGACTCGTTCATATGATATGTGATGTTAACTGCAGGAATTTTATTTTTTAAGGGTAAAGGAATGGTTGGGTGAGAAAGAAAAGTGTCTCTGCGTTTACTATTCAGTCCCTTATATAGGTATACTCACTTGTATATTTTAAAAGAAATGTGAGGCCCTGTACACTTGATTTACTTTTTATTATGCCGTAGATTTTTAAGGCAGTTTGCTGCATCGTACAGGAACAAGGAGTAAGTGACAAAAGAATCCTTGTCTGATGTTAAGTTCCATCTAGCAATACAGATATTTTACTTAAGATAGGCCTGTGTATTTTTTATTTGGTGGAAGAGATTGCATTTTTGCAATAGATTTTTTAGACCGTTTTCTGCATAGCACGGGTATGAGGAGTAAGATGACAAAAGAATCCTAGTCCGATATTAAGTTCCTTCTAGCAATGTAGATATTTTAAGTAGGCAAAGATTTTTTGTGGAAGCGACCACATTTTGTCAACAATGTGCTTGTAAGAAAGAGTAATATATTGTCCTATATTTAATTCCTTTGGACTCTAACCATCACCATGTATTTAGGATTACTTTTTAAAAGAAATTTCTTTAAATAAATGCCATCATTTTAATCCCTGCCCAAAGACCATGATCATTCTTGCTCAAAGTTTTTATATTTATATCTCTTTGATTTTAGTTGTCTTATTTTAATGAGCCATTTTATGTACATGTACCTGCCATAAAGAAATATTAAATTGGCAACACCAAAGAAAAAGAAAAAAATATTTCTAAAAAAATAATAACAGTATCTTTTTAACCACTAGCCACTTTCTTTAAAAACCTATACCGGTAATAAAGTTACATATATATATATATTAATATGTTGGGGGTTGACTGGATTATATAAATTTGGTACGTATTTGATATGTTCTCTTGATATTTGTTCCTCTGTGAAATTGCTTAGACAATACTGTAAAACAAGATGATATGCAAAACTGTACATGTGTATACTTATTATAAGTTAAGTGCAATTTCAGAACAATCATTATACATACATGTAGGTTAATATTTATGCATTCATTTTTGGTAATATCTTATTAATTGTGAAGTAATATGTATATGTCCTAGAAATCATGAAAATCAATACTGGGATTGGCGGAAACTTTGTTTAAAAGTGCCTGAGATATTTATATTTTTGATGATGTTATTAGTTGACGAAGTATCATGTACTATGAATGAACAATTGATTCAGGTTGATTCAAGTATGGGTAATCATGTTATGATTATGAATTTTTCTCTAAGGGAAGTATATTTTGGTGCATTATATTTATATGTTATCTCTGGAAATTACTTTATTTATCAAGTTTAGCAGTAAGCTTGAGCTTTTCTTTAGTTCTATTTATCAGTAATAAACGCTGTTCTGTTCCCGGGTGAAAAGTCCAAAGCACATCTAATGAGTTAGAATTATTTGAAACTTGACATGTTTATTTTTTTTCTATAGGACTTTATGAAATTGTGTTATGCCAAACTTCCAGTCCGACTCAATTTAAAAATTAAAGATTGAAGATTTATTTTATTCAATACTCGCAACCTTTACGGTTGAATTGTTACTGACTTTACATATTTAAAAAACATATACAAATTACAAGCAGAGGGAACAAAAACAGATTCAAGTAAAATACAATGACAGTAGAAAGTGTACACAAATTGCAAATTTAAAATGACAATAGCAATTAATCTAGAAATGGGAAACCATGGGAATTTCAAAATATTGGGTTAAATGAAGTAATTTTACTTGGACACCCTGACTAAACATAAGAGATGTCTATTTTTTTCTGCATCAAATGTTTAGATGTGATAAATTTCAGTACTAGCTTTGTTTAGACTACCTGTGTATGTTTATTGTTTACGGTATATTTTTTATGACAAATCATATGTTGAAGAGATGTTAGTAATCTAAGGACCCTAGGAAAAATATACACTAACACAGCTTTATTTTAGAATTTCAGATTTTCCTGAGATTAACTTAATTTTAGAAACATGTAGGTCACAAAGAGTTGTAAATAATCCAGAGGGGAAGTTTTATTCTAATTCATTATCTTTAAATTTTGTGCTTAATTTCAAGGTGAAAGAAGTGTATTATACTATTATATCTATTTTAAGTACCGGTATATTGTAAATATTTCCTGTTATGTATAAATTGATTAGCCTGAAGACCATGGTACTAGTAATAAATACAGCACATATTAAATACATGATTTATATACACACATAAAGACAAGTTGATGACTTTATTGTTGTCGTATTCATGGCTGTGATACTGCTTTAAGCGTTACTAAACTGATGAACTTTCTGCCATAGCATACCATTTTAATTATTGCACATCTATGTTTATACAGTCATACATCGGTAACTCTGAGCAACAGCTTACAAGGATGCCCTCAGACAAGGCGATGAATTGCATTATAAAATGTTGTAGAGATATAGGTGGAAAATAGATAAATTTGGATGTTATGAGCACAGAAGATTAAGAGAGAGAGAGAGAGAGAGAGAGAGAGAGAGAGAGATGTAGACAGTGAGAGAGGAGGAGGGTTGGGAGCAAGAGAAGTTCGAGAGAAATGGTAAATATAGTACATCAGATTGTGGTACAAGCTTTTTAGTGATGAGCAGAAAAGCTTGTTTATGTTGCTTTTGAATGTGATTGAAGTACTTCCATTGAAAAGTACATGTAGTCCGATTCACGTATAACAAACTGCCCCCAATCCCCTGGAATGGCGAAAAATAGAAGAAAAGAGAGAACTGAAGAGAAGAGAGACATATATATAGATGTAGAAGGAGTGAGAGAGAGAGAAAGAGAGAGAGAGAGAGAGGGGGGGGGGGGGGGGGGGGGGGGGGAGTGGGAGAATTGGAAAAAGGGTGAGTTTTAAGTGCGCTTTGCAAAACCTTTAATCGTCCTGTTATTTCATTACAATACAATGGCAGATTTTGTTCTTTTTTGTTGTTGTTTTGTTCATGAAAACCTTAAACAGTAATTTTTGTTTTCAAATTTTTATGATGCGGTGGCCGTATCATAATAAGCCACCGCATCATAACAATTTGTCAACAGAAAAATACTCTTGCTTGTTTCAGAAAGTGCCCCTTTGATTACCAGGAGCTGTATTACAGATTGATTCATGGTTCGGAAATGTACTGTCCTTCCAGATCTTTGCCCCATCAACATTCGTAAATGATGGGTCAGATTTTAATATATATTATTCTCGATATTGTTTTAACTAGTTTGTAACCCGACTACCCCCATTTAGTTTGTAAACCTCTCATGAAATCTGAAATAAAACATCGAAATAAGATATTTCTTACCCACGAATTGAATACAACATTTTCAATTTCTATAATTTTCTGCATGGTAAAAGGTTTTATTTTGCAAATAATGATAAAGTTGTATTACACATATACTTCTTCAACTCGGTTCTGGAAATCCACCCCCGGACAACCACCCCCAATCAACTAACCCCTAGGACAAGCACCCTCTAGGACGAATACCCCCAGGACAACTTCCCGCAGAAACTACCCCTGGAAAACTACCCCCCAGACAACTATCCCTATGACAACTACCCCCGGACAACTACCCCCGGATAACTACCCCTAGGACAACGACCCCCTGACAACTATCTTAGGGGATAATTGTCTGGGGGTAGTTGTCCTGGGGGTAGTTGTCCTAGGGGTTGTTCTCCAGGGGTAGTTGTCCTACGGGGTATTTGTCCTAGGGGATAGTTAACTGGGAGTAGTTATCCGGGGGTGGATGTCCAGGGGGTAGGTGTCCGGATACGCTTCAACTCATGCCTTAGTGTTGCCTTAGCGTTTGAGTATTGCAATCGATAAAGGTTTAGAGGTGATTAATTACAAATAAAACTGCTTTAGTTAAAGGAGAACTAACCCCACAGAATAAATTTGGTTGTTCTGAGAGATTAATTGGATTCTTGCCTATTAATCTACAAGATTCCCCAACAAAGTGTATGAGAAGGGCATGAAGCAAGAATTAAGTATAGTTTCTCGCCCTTTTCTTGATTGCATGATGTAATCTTTTAATTAACTGTACCGTAAATCTAAGCATATCAGGAGCTCTTGTAGCGCAGTAGAATATATATCTAATGTTGGATAGTTTCTGCGCTCTATAAATGTACTATTATTATTATTAATATGCGGAGTCGTTTATCAACTAAATGTATTCAAATGATGGATGCTACCTTTCCAGGTGTTTGAGGTGTTGAAGCATTTCATTCACCTATTATCCTTTGTACTCCAACTGCCAGAACGCAAATTGCATAACTTAGTATGCGCTATTCTGAGGTGAAGGTTTCGCATAAATTTGTTTGTTTGTTTTATTTATTCACCATGTAAAATAACTGTTTACAGATAATAAAATACAGTGGGTTACATTGATATATAATACATAGTAGGAACAATGCTCAAACAAAAAATGTTTGAAGCGCAACGTCCTTAAGTAACATAATTGATAATTATTAGGTAAAAATAGAACATGGCTTAAAATAAGACATTCGTTCAAGAATATACAAGAATATAAACAAAAAATTAAAATCATGCCCCTTAGCGTATTTGAATAACAAGCAAAAGCAAGGAAATACACATTACCTCTTTTTGACATAACTGGCACTATACAAAATGTACCTCAAAAGTTAACAATTATATTTTAAGAGAAATAATTCCTTCATATTCTTTTTAAATAACATAAATGAAATAGATTTTTTTCAACCGCTCTATTTCAGGATTTTTAAATAAACGAGTTACAATTGCTACCCTATTATATATTTTTTTCCACCAAATGTAACTCTTACCTTCTCGGCTATGATTTCCCCCTTATTGAAAAGTAAAGGTTTTGTTATTGAATTAAAACATAAACAAATATAATGTATATTTTTTTCTTTTTCAAAATATTATTTCAAACTATAAATAATTAGTATCTGTCATAATTAAGACCGTAATGAAATACGTATTTATATTAGTGTGAGCCAAATTCATACATTTTCAAATTGGTTGGCGGGGATTCGTGCGTATTCTTTGAAATCATAATGATGAAAAATTTTGTACAAGAAGATTTAAAAATATCAATCAATTAAAACCCACATTGCTATGCATCTCTGGCATCGCTATCTACCCTTTCTCTTCTTCTTAATAATTATTACAATCATTTAAAAGATTTTGACCTGGCCTATTGTTTCTCATAATATTTCAATTCCTCGTCTCTGACAAAGTCGTCTCTGCTGACACCGGTGCCGCCTACCACCTGGTTGTTGAGCTCGCACACACCGTTGCCGATGTTAAATGACACACAGTCATCTAGCTCGTTACACTCGGCACCGCACATGACCAATGATGAGCCATGTTTGGTTTTGATCACGTGATTTCGAAGGCGCCATCCCGGGATCTGTTTTTTGAAGAAAGAAGCCTTTTGACGGACCACGTCTGCTCGATGTGGCACTGGATCTATTATGGAATATAAGTTAAAAGATATAGTCTTGAAGGTGAGATATTTATTCATTGTTTAATTTATTCAGTTTGATCTCCGTAGGGTAGTTCCGCTCAAGGCAACAACATAACTTTTGATGGCTTGATTTCCAAAGAAGCCCCATACACTAAAAAGTACATGAAACACATTATACATAACAAAGAACAAATTCATTTCAGAACAATGTAATATTAAATCTATGTTTTATAAGATGAGATAACACGATTTATTAAACATGACATTTTAAAAAATAGGATTAAACCGCAAAAAAAAAAAACACATTAGAAATATAAAAAAAAATCTAAGCGATAACAATATAGTACCGAAAAAGAAGAAGAAAACATCATTTTTTAATGAATACCAACTCCTCCTTCCATTAAAAGATATAAATTACTGCAGACTTCGGAAAAGCCTATATGAGCTTTTTGAGGAGAAATATTTATATGAATAATTTCCTGGAAAAAATAGTCTGAACAAAGGCAAGCATATATGCACAAAATAGATCCGTTGAGTATTACAGAAACAAAAAGCAGAGGCACAACGTTTCTTTCTCTGATATAAATCTGAACTTTGCTTAACAAGGACCTGTGGTTGCATGTAAAATGCCTTTTAAATATGTTCATGTAATTGTTTTTGTCAAGCATTTTTGTTGAATGAACAACGAACCAGCAAGAACGCGATCTAAAAGAGAGGAAAAACAAATCTTGAAGAAATTGAGGAGAAGTCACATTATGATATCAAATGCACTTTGCCATCCTTGACATGACTAAAGGCTAATTGTGTATATTAAGGTTAATGTGTGGGGAGTGTGTGCGTGCGTGTGTGCGTGTGCGTGCGTCTGTGTGCGCGTATTCTACGGAAGGATGTTATCATTTACCTGTTACTGGAGCTTGACTGGTAGGTCCCTGAAATTCAAAAGAAACGAATAACAGATATTTAATTTACTTCATCAAATTTCTACAATCCTAAAATCATGGAGGTCCTGGATTGCTGGATATCAATACAATTATGAAGCTTGATGTCTACGAATGTTCCTGTTGAAGGAGATTATGCACCGATGATATCGCTAATCATTCATTTTGTTGTTTAATAATAAATTGAGGATTAAAAGGTTTAAAACATTGATAACTCACGCTTGTTGCCTCAGTTGTTCCATTTGAACCTGTGAATGTGATACAAAAGGGATAAAAATGAGATAAAATGGGGTGACAATTATTATTACAAAATTAACATGATTGCATCTTTCTCTATTTCTATGCTATTGACTGGGTCTATCAACTTCAGAGAGGGCTTGGGGTGAACTATTTTCCTTTAAGGAATTTTCTAGGTATATGGCGGACGTGTCCAGGCAAACACATTCCCCTATGCATTGACGCCCATGCTTCCTTATTTCTTCGCTGTACATTGTATCATGTTGACAATATAAACCTGTTATTATCATAATAACCTCATATGTGTCAAAGCATCCCCATTTATAATGTCAATATCTTATTCATCCCTCCACCACCTTGACGATTAATATAAATGGAGTAAGGTCTATGAATATTTATTCGATTTAGTTCGAATTGACTTTCACAAAAAACGAGAGTGGATTAGATATAACATGTCATGCATTTGGTAATTAGATGACATCTTCTGGTCATCCTAAAACCCTAATGAATATTAAACATATAATTTGTGCCTCAGAATCTTCATTAATACCGTCGATTCCTTTAACTATGAAATGCTATCATGTATGTTGATATTCAACTT